CTTTATTATAGCTTCACTAAATAGTTTTTGTTGAAATGTATCTGTTGCATTTAGAAAACAATGTTCAGCCAGCTGATACGAAGTTGAAGCAGCTTCTACCGTAGTGACCACATTTCTTTGCATTGCTTGAAAGATATCCAGTTTGTGTTCATATTTATCTTCGATCACATCCATAGTGATGTAGTTATGACAAAAGTCTTTTGATACTGGGGCAACAAAACAATAGTTGCCTTTGCCAACATAACTAAAGACATTCTTCATAACTTCATGTGGCATATCTTTCAAAGTTGCAGATGGCACTTCATGCTCGAGTATCTTTCTTTTCTTCCTCAACTGCATATGCATATTCTCTTATCCTGTGCTATTATAAACGATAATGTACTCAAGGATTTGAATCTCGTAAATTATAGGTCGTTAAGGATTGGTCTTGTGCCTCTCCAAGCAGTTTCTTTTATTTCCTTTATCACTCATCATTCTGCCAAGAATGTTCTTGTTGTTGATGCCAAAAAAGACGCAATGCGTATGTACATTCCGTGTCAAATTTTGAATTTGGAAAGTGACACAAAGGGGAAGGAGAGGGTAGTTCCACTATGAAAAGATCATTTTGTTTCCATCGTTTTATCATAGAAAAACGTAAATAAAGTATAAACTTCTGAATATTCATATTGATTGAATAAGCGAGAAAGCTTTCGCTTTTATTTAATGATAAAACTAGAATAAATAAGGTTTTCCGCAACTTTTCACGATTGATTCATACAATTGAAATTGTCCTTTGCGACGGAAGGAATTACTCTCAAAATCTTACCACTTTCTTACAATTCTTTGAACAATACATCTGAAATGACTTCTTCAGCATAGTCTTCACCATATAATCGTGTCAACATCGGTCTTGCAGGGTCAAAGTCTCTTCTGTAATTAAGATAATCAACATGACCTTGCTTTACATCATATTCTGCGTCAAGAGCCAACTTCTGAACCGCCAAATCTGTCATCATTTCCAAGTAGAGATCAAAATATTCACAATATGCTTTGAATACTTCAGTCTGTATGATACTGAATGCATCTCTCGATTTATCGTCATCATCTTGAATACGAGTCCAAAGAGCATATGGAGAGAAAAATCTCTTTGCTTGCGGAGGAATTTCGCCCCCAAATGGAAGCAAATCCTGTTGATTCTGTACATGACGTTCATGCAATTCTTTCAATCTTTCTTCATACTTTTCTAAATAATTTGGAAACATGTTGTCATAGTTTTGTTCTCCATCATCTGTCGGTGGAGCTGTCGGTTGAAAATCAATCGCAATCAAATTCTTATTTCCAGGTAAAGTCACCAAGTCCATACCCAATACAGGCAAGGGTAATTTCGAATTAGGGAACATGACCAAGTTCAAGACTTGTATAGCTTGTGGAATAGACTTGATTCCAGATTCAGAAGGTGTCAGCGTTTCCAAAAGTGCATATCTTACCAGTCTCAATGGAGATTCTTCATCACTTGGCGCTGCTGCTTTTATTTCAATATCAATTTTTGTTCCTGGTGGCACTGGTCCTTTTGCCTCAGATGTATTCTTTTCCAAATCTTTTGGGACTGGTATATTGTCCTCCGATAAACCTAATTCGCTATTAAGTAGTTTTTCCCAAGCATATTCAGCAAAGACTCGAAACGTCCCCCCTTCATCGCTACTGGACAATCTTATCGAAGTAGAAGATTGATTCAACGTTTGTATGCGTACTGAAGTTGGAATATTTACAAAAGCCTCCACTTGTTTGCTTGCTAGAAAGAACAAAGCCAATTTCATGAAAAGATACAACTGTCTCATTTTTGTTTTAGACTTTCTTCACTGAAGTTTCTGCTTAATACTGCTGAAGTTGCTACGAGAAGGTCTGTAGTTTCGATACAAATGAAGGTACAGAAATGTTGGTCTACTCGTAAGTAAAGAGATATATCTTGTATCTTCAATAGCTTCTAATAGATGTGTGGTGTAAAGTGTAAATGCAAAAGGCTAGAAAGGATTTTTCCTGGCTTTGAACATGATTCATTTAGTTTCGAGCCAATTAGTTGTGTTGTATCCAGCTAGTTATCATCGTCATTATCGATTGCGTGCTTTTCCGCGTCACTTTTTCTTCTTCTTCTTTAGATAGACGTGATACTGTGTTGCTATTGAAGAAGCATATTAAATATCAATTGAGTATTGAATTCACCATGAACCTTGTTACAATAGCTTCCTCGGTCATATTATTCCTTTCTTTAGTGAAAGATGTCGCTGCTTTTGCTGTACTACCATCAAAATGCGTTCAACCTAGATCAACATGTCTCAACGCAATTGAAGTTATGAACGTAGCAGACTTGGATGACCATGAAGCTGAAGGCACAAGACTTTCTAAATCTGTTGCTGGCTGGTTAGACAGAGAATGGATGACTCAAGAAGTGCACGTACAGATGGGTGAAGTCTGCAAACAAACGTACATTCGTTGTAGAGAAAATGGTGAAGCGGAAATCATGTCCATCATGACTGAAATTACAGATGATTTATATGCAGATTGGAAGAAATTTGACAAGGATGCTTTTGTAAATGCATGGGATATTGGCAATTATGTTGCAGATTATTTACATGAGCGTGTTGGTGCAGAATCTTGTGGATGCAATGCTGTCATTTTCAACCCTGACGAAGTGTAAACAGTTGAAATGAATTAGATACTAGAGACAAGTATATTTTGCTTTGAAAGTTAGCTATACTCTATAATTTATTTACTTTGAAATAATATCTGCATCTATTCTATAAGATGGTGGTTTCAATACATCTGGCGACACATCAAAGTTCAAGTCCACATTGATCTCGTCACCTGCTTTGACAGGAACAGGAAGATCATTCATAATTGGCAATACGGTTTGCCAATGAGACTTTTGGTGCCCTCCGTCTGGAAATTTTCGTGAATTCACTTGGATTGTTTCTCCTCCATCTAGCAAGAGCCTTGGCCATAGAGCAATACCTGTCACACTACTAGCTGTTGTTTTTGCCATGCTTTCAGCTTCCTTCTTACTCAGCCTTGCTCTACGAAACTCTTCATACAATGAGGATGTATTGTCTTCAATCCGCTCTCCATCAACAACAAATTTAAGATTTTTCTCAATCTTACTATTGGCTTTGATATCTGCAAAACATACATCCTCTACCAAAACGGGATTTGAAAGCAATTGAAGACCTTCATCTCTACAATTAAATCTCACTGGTTCACCATTCAACTTTGTCCAATCGAAGGCTGGTGGTTGGAATAGATTGTGAAGAGTATAAGATGCAGGTGCAGCATATGTTTGGACTCTGGAAGGAATCCAATTTGCTTTGTTGCTAGGGTCCTTGACGAGTCTCTGTGCATCTAAAATCGTTGCATATGCTCCTTCTTCTGTAGCAACACTGCCAATAATCTCTGCCACGGCAAAATCAGCCTTGTCATTGTTTGGAAGTGTAATTTCATTACTAAATCCTTCAATCACTTCAATAATATCTTCGAAACCCAACTTTTTAATATTTGCTCTAGCGGAAATAACCGCTTCACGATTTGCTTCAATGGCATAGACTTTACCCGCACCAGCTTGTGCAGCAATAATTGCAAAAAGTGCAAAAGGTCCAGTCCCCAAATCCAAGACAGTTTGAGATTCCGGGCCACCAGGTACGGAATTCAGTCGTTCTATGATTGCCTTTTCGAAAAATGGAGTTCTAGCTGGGTCATCCATCATTGCCCTGTATGCAGATGTATCAAATGAGACAAATTTCTTTCCTTCATCTAAACTATTGAGACCATCGACTGCACTCCATTGTGCGCTGATATGAATACTGTTTGCTTCGTCTGCAAAAGCTGGGAGGGTAGAAGATACAGTGGCTACAGTCAAGAATGTTTGCAAGGCTGACCTTCTCGTCGTACTTTGATTGGGCGGGAAAGGAGAAGATGAATTGCTTTCATCATTTGTAAGTGAAGCGTACAACTCTGATTTGACCCTTGGAAGTCTCGATGTAGATGGCGCCAATGAGAAAGACTGTACAGCCGTTGCGCATAGGATACAAGTGACGAAAGTCTTCATTGCTCAGAGTTTTGGAAGGGGTGATTCTATCATGCAACTACGCTATTTATTGCATTTGACAATTGAAAAGAAAGAAGAGAGAGTGATGTGTTGTTGAAAAGCGATCTTTGTGCCAACTCCCAACCTAACGAGGCTCATTTTTCTTACTTTTTTCTTTTTTTTGATTTTGTTTGGCTTTTCACTCGACATTTTTTAACAATATCAAAGATTACAAAGTAATAAATAAATGATATAGCATCTAATTGTTAGTTTTGTAGGTTCGTAGGGGATTGGGAGATACATACATCTTCGCTTTTCCTTTATATTCACCTTGGCTCGATTCCGATTCTGTATTCACCGAAATGTACATTCGATCGCAACATCTTTACTAAATAGTTCTTCCATTCTTATCAACGTATTTCAATTAAGTTTCCTTCGGTGGTACATGGAAATATCTCTCCCCTTCGTAGGTTTCAAGTCTTACATTGGCAATTAATCCTTCTGTTTTGAAAGCGTCTTGCACTTTGTTCATTCCATCAAGTACCATTTCTCTAGTTCTTTCCGGTTTTCCGTATGCTCTGATATCCACGTAGACATCTTCTTGAAAACTTTCATCTGTCCAATCATCTACTCTTGTGAGAATCAATTTCGTAGTGTTTGGCTTTGTGTTCCAAATTGCACATAGCTTAGATTGCAGCGAGCTCAGATTAATTGGCTTGGAAAGGGTTTTTTGTGCAAATAGTTTTACTAGTGGCATTTTTATTGATTGATAGAGTTGATGCAGTGACGATATATATAGAATATAGTAGATGTGTATTATGTTTCAATTGAAAAGAATAACAAAAGATGTGGTGTGAGAGAGCTGGAAACTGGAAAGAGGGACTTCTCAGATAAAAATCCATAGATTAGAGATCATATTTTGTAGTAGCACTATTTGTGATAGCATGCATCGATGCCCGAGCTGGTCTAAGGGGCTGCACTCAAGTTGCAGTGTACTCGTACTCGTGGGTTCGAATCCCACTCGATGCAAAAAAAAAAACCTTTTTTGTTTTATTGATTCACTCGCTTGTCGTTTCATCAATAGAACAGTAATGTAGTAAGGTCTACCTTTTGTGATGAATGAGTTTTTCGAATTTTTTTGAGTCGTAGTTTTAATAGGTACGTACTGGGTAGAATGGTTGGCAAGATCTTTTGCATCATTGTAGATATACCTTTTGATATCGATCGATGAATACGTAGCAAAAATGATAAGATGAACTACAGCAATGCTGGTTCTTGATTTTGCATATCTGATAATTTTAATGTTACACTGGATCTCCCGAAAGGGTTCGAGTGAATTCCCTCTTTCGTTTCATAACATTTTTTTAGAATAGAATCGAATTGGAATTTGCAAAGAGTTCCAGCACAATTGTAATTCTTATTATATTTATTTTTATACCCTAGTTTCTTATCCTTCTAAGCAAGATATCCTACTGGGAGCTTATGCTCGACAAAGTTTTCCTTTTGCGCAGATGCTTCAATCACTTCAAATGATTGAGGCCATTCTAAATTCAGGTTGTATACCTTTTGCAAATCCTTGAGGTAGGAACGAACCTCGTTTCCAATCTTGATTTTACTAAAGTTCAATGCCATATTGACACCTGTATTAAAAAAGTTGGAAGCTGGACGATTTTTGTCAAACTTGTAAAGTTTGATTGCAATCGGTCTTGCCTCGTCCTTTCTTGTCAATGAAGTGACAGTGTGCTCAAGTTGCATCGAATGACCTACATGGATATAGTCGTTTTCATGTCCTTCAGGAAGAGATACAAATGGATCAGTAGTTCTTTCCACTCTAAGGATATTCAGGTTTGGAAGAGAGTGGATTTCATTGCGAAGCTTTTGTCCACCAATCTTTGGACATCCAAATAGAGTTGCTCTGACTCTAGATGCAGGCTTACTCTTTGCATACTTGTATGCAGCAATGGAACTGAGGCACGCTCCAAAGGAATGACCGGTAAAGGCAACATCAAAAAATGGCTTGAATCCAGTAAGGCGATTAAGGAGTGTAAAAACTGATTCTTCGAGATTTGTTTCTTCATATGCTTTCATAACCATGTCATTCACATCAATTTCATACGATCCATCCTTTCCATCTTGATTCTTCTCGTCATCTTTCTTGACCTTTTGCGCACCAATTTTAGGATGGTCTTGTAACAACGAACTTCCTCTATACACTACAATGATTTGTCGAAGAGACTCACTCGAAAAGATGCAAATCTCAACTCTACCAATTTCTTTGGAAGATGCATGATCTCTATAAAAGCCTTCAACTACAATATCACTCGCCACATCTTTAAGTTTTTCTAGAATAGGACCGAATTTTGAGTCTTTTGGTTTCTCCTTTTGTATCATGGTCGCTGGTTCTCCCATCAAGAGCATATGAATATCCTGTTTTGGACTTCCCCCAAAAGGCATTAGATCTGCAAAATCAAAGTCGACACCTAGTTCATCAACATAAGAATCCATAATATTGCAAATCTTACAACTAGCAATGGTACTGTCAAACGAAGGAGGTTCAATTTGATACTCGGAAGGTGAAAATTCACATGTCTTGATTTCAAACAAGGATGCATTTTGGAATTTCGGAGAGAATGTGAGAACTTGTCCCTTTCTCATTGGAGTTTTGGTACATCCCACTCGGTTTTCTCTAGGCGGTGTGAGTACTTTTCTCAGTTTCCCTCCCTTCTTTTTTATTGAGCTCATGATTTTTTTACCTGCTGGCCTTTTGCGACTAGGTGTCATGGTGGTTGCTGCTTTTTCATTGACAGCTTTTAATGGTTCACGTCCTGTCATGTTTTTTTAGTTTGTAAATTTGGAGCTGTTCGAACTGAAGAAGTGAAAAAATGAGACACGTTTCATTTGTGTTTTTGTCGTTGGTGATGATAAGAGATCTTACCTTTCTTTTAAGATTATTCAGATGTGATTTTTGGAACAGAAATTGCAGTGATGATGAGTCCTCTTTCGTCGTTGTGAATAATGAAAAAATGAAGACTATGCATTCGATGAAAAACAAGAAGCGATGGATGATATTGTAATGGATCTGCATAGAGATCAAAGATGTGTTCCGTCTATCGCCAAAATTTCAAAAATGAAAATGAAAAAAGATGGGACTGAAGAACGTTTTAGATTTAACCGCCAACTAGCTAAATTAGTCCTCACTTTTCTATAACCGCCAAATATTGAAGCCTGAAGCCATAATTTGATATTTGATACTTCAAGGAAACTAGATATTTGAGCCAAACTATACCACACAAATACTATTTCTCTCTCTATATATATAAACATGGATCTCCCGTCTTCTATAACCGAAGAAATTGCGGAGCTAAAGACAGCTTTACCAAAAGTAAAGATACAGACAGCTACAAATTCGTTCCTGATTGGATCTTATCAAAGAACTCCGTACACATGTATTAAATTTACAATCACCTTTCCATCCGAATATCCGAGCCACTCCTTCATTGTAGATATTAAACAGGATGAAGTAGTGCCCCCCGGATTGAAGAAGAAATTAGAATCAGATCTTGTGGCAGATTTACCACTTGGCCATTATCAACAATTGGTAACGACCGTAACGAGACTCGTACAATTTATAGACAATAATAGATTTCTGCCCTGTTGGAAGGAACTGAAGCAAGTTATGAATCTCTTGAAGAAAGATGATAGCGGATCTACTATATCCATTATTGAGAGCAAAGGAAAAATCAAGCTCAAACTTTGTCGCAAAAAATATTTCTACAATTGTTCCATAACTGTTGATGAAGGCTATCCATCGACAACAACTCATGAAGACTGGGGTAAAGCTTGTTTATTAAATCTCATATCTACAAATCTTCCACCAAAGCTTGAAAAGATGCTGACTTCTCAAGCTCTAGAAGTTATTCGAAGAATGCAAGATGGAATGACTGCTGAAAAAGCGTTGGTGCTTTCCAATCCTATTCGACAGCCTAAAATGGATGATGATGATTCTAAAAAGGATATCGGAGAAAAACTTACAAAAGATAAGCTCAAAAGTCTAAAACATGATATTGATACATTATCAACTGTACGTGATTTGAGAGAGAAGGATGCATCTAGAGTACAGGGAAAAGATCATGTATTGAAAGCTCATGCTAAAGAAAGAAAAGCAGCAAGACGTGCAATTCATAGAATCACAGATCAAGAACTTAAATATGATCAGGAAATGGAAGCAAAATGGAGAGAAGAAGAAGAAGCTAGGATGTCGGGATACAACTTTGGCAGTGGCAATGCACCTCAACCTAGTCTCTTATCTTTGGTTATTTTTTTGCAAGAAAAGATTCAAAATGTTCCAGATTCCAAATGCCCATGTTGTGACAAACTGGCTTTACCTGCAGATCCAAATAAACTCAAATTCATGTATTTGCCTGTTTCGGAATGCAAAAATGACAAGGAAAAGAAAGATCGCAAGGTAGCAAGGACGATGAGACCAATTCGAGTATATTGTGGTTGTTGGTACCACTACAAGTGCTTGGATAAATTCATTTTAGAACCTCCATTTGGTGCTGAATGTCCAACACCAGGTTGTGGAAGAAGGGTGTTCCATCCTGATTGGCCCGATGACATGAAGAGATTAGAACGAGAATGGGCAAGTCATCAAGCTCGATTACGAGAAGTGGAAGATGCGGCATTATTCTTGTAACTAAATAAAGAGCTTTAATTCCATATATATCATATATTTTGAAAAACAGTCTATTTCGTTACATACTATCATTATTGATTCTTGAGAACCAATTTGTCGCACATTGTGAACTGAATAAAAATGTGTATCTATGAATCACCCGCCAAGGTATTTCAATGATGACATTTTCATCCAGTCTACATTCTTCTTTCAACGATTTTTCCTCCATTGTATCTCCTCATGTTATCAAATGAGACTTTTTTATCATTCCCCCAACATCAGAATAAGGAACAGTAATATACACAGTCCATACTTCTCCTCTATTCATCTAATGCTTATCGTCTACCACTCTCTAGTGTCCCATCATAAGTTCCATCATATGTATCACCAGCATCGGTGTAAATGGTTCCTTCATCATCAAAATCAGCATTCTGCCTAAACAAAATTCTAAAAGCTTCAGGATGTCTCACACCTGCAAAACGAATACCAAACATTAATCCAAGAGTAGCAGTCGCCATCAAAATGCCCCAGATCTCCATAGCATAAAGGAATAGACTCACATATAAATCCATGAACCATCTTCCGCGGAATGTAAAGAGGAATGCAAAACGTGAACTATCAAGGAATTGAAGAAGAAATTTCGGTCCATTCATTGCAACTAGAAGCATTGCAAAGGTGACGAGAGACGTCATGGTTCCTATGAGTGCATGGAGATATATTGGATTGTATAATGTCCAGTTGAAAATGACGACAAGGTTGAGCTTTAGAGAGAAAATGAAAACTGTGAGTTATATAAATAGAAAGAAAAAGAGGAACAAGACGATGCTTGTTGTAGGTTCATTTTGACATAACCTATCCAGCTATGAAAAATATTCAGTGAAAATGATGGGAAGAACTCACCAGATATACTGCAACCGATGATGCCCGAAACGACCTGACAAGTGACTTTGTTCCCATTGTAGTAGTAGTTGCTGAAAGATGTATTTGGTTCTCGTCTGTGATACCAATTGACTTGAATTGATTTCAAATACAGTAAACTTAGTACAATCGGAGATGGTCGAGTTTGACAGGCTTGCAGGTGGCTCTTGATCTTCCCAAGAGTAAAATGCGATTTTTGGCGAGACCAATGATAATGTGTACGTATATATTGTAGTATCTTTGTGGATATGATATCTTCATAGCATAAGATATTATGCTATCTATTTTAGCTTAGATGATTCAAATGTCCAAAATTGCCCTAAATTAGTCTTGTCAAATATTTCAAAAAGAAAAAGTAAAAACAGAAAAAGGATAATAAGCAAGAGTTTGATTAGACTAGTAGCTTGATACAAATTATTTATAAATAATATCAAAA